GCTCAGTTCGTAGGAACCGACATATGTTTTGTTTGATTATAGTGGTGAAAGCTTTATGCAGAACCAACCACAAGGGCGGAATAAAGAGACCTGGTATCCAAACGACTATCTGCAGGTTTTGAAATCAGTTGTCCTTTTCCTAGACCAGTTGCCATCCAAGGCTATAGAACCCAGTCTGTCCTGCTATTTGACCATAGCTGGAGGGAGAAGATTCATACCTTTCCCAAGGATATTAGCACGTAAGTGAATGCAAGGGATTCGACTTGAATTTCTCGGCTCTCCGATTCCTCAATCTGAACCGCTATCCATTACTCCACAAGGCCTCCCTTTTTATTTATATATATATATATATATATATATATATATATATATATATATATATATATATATAGTCTAACTTGGGGATATAAGTGAGTTGTCGGGACCGGAGAAGAAGTCTCTTATATCCGGGTTTCTCTTATATCCGGGTTTGGACTATTTTGTTTACATTAACACAGGCTCTAATTTGGGACCAGTGAAAATCTCTCTTATATCCGGGTTACACTAGTGTAACCCGGCAACACCTTTCACGAAGTTTATAGACAGTAGTAGATTGATTCTGCGCGGTACTTAGGTTATCTTAGGTAGCGTGCAAAGGTATTCAGATCATAGTTTTAAGTGCCCAATCATGTTCAAACAACTGCATCATTTTTGACAGTGGGCTGCTACTACTACTACTACTACTACTACTACTACTACTACTACTAATAATAATAATAAGAAGAAGAAGAAGAAGAAGAAGAAGAAGAGGAGGAGGAAGAATAATGAAAGGAACAAGTGCAACTAAAGTACAAAAAAGGAAATCTGAAAAATATAAAAAAAAGAAAGGTAAATCCAAGGAGAACAAAAGCAACAAGAAAAAAAAAATTAAAAGAACAAGAAAAAGAGAAAGATATTGAGAACAATAACACGGAAGGAAAGAGAGAAGAAATGAAAGGGAGAAACAAAAAGAAAAGAGAAAGAGAAGGAAAGTAGAATATAAGAAGAAAATAAAGAAGAGAAGACAGAAAAAAAGAAACAAGAAATCGACGAAAGGAATGTAAAAAGGGAGAAAGAAGAAGTAAAAGAAGCAAATGATGATGATGGTGGTGGTGGTGGTGATGATGATGATGATGTGATGATTGTGATGATGATGATGATGATGATGATGATGATGATGATGATGATGATGATGATGATGATGATGATGACGACGTCGGCGACGATTTTGGCAGGATAACATCCACCTCAAAGAGAAGAAATTCAGAAAAAAATATTTGGGAATATAGAGAAAATTAATAAAACAGAGATTAACATTATTTTGACAACGAAGAAGAAAAGCCAACAAACTTCTGGTATTCAAAATGACGATATTTTATTTTTTTTCTTTCTTTCTCTCTTTTCTTTTTCTTTTTTTTTTTTTTTTTTTATTGCATTTGTCTTTTGATGTGGTTCTCAGATCTTTTGCCAACGCTGTTAGCCATTGTTCGCTGGTCATCCCCCATAATTGGGGCGGCGACAACATTGATTGGAGCATTAAGAATCAAACAACAGTGTGTGGCGGCGTGTGTGGGAGGGGGAACCAAACAGAAAGCCAAGTACAAGAAACAGGAACGAAAGAAGAGATTCGTCATCAAAAGCGATTGACTTCAGTCTAAGGACATAGGACAATTTAACATCTAAACGCATGAAGTAAAAGCCTTTTAATAAAATCGTTAATGATATGTTTGTGGTGGGCCGCCATTAGGGAATATACTTTGAGGAGAATCGACTGCTACGGCGGGAGGAGGAGCCAAAGGAAACGGCTATTTGTGAGGGACTTGTAATCAATAGTTGTTCTACTAGCGAAAAATAATGTCACTCTTAGTACAGATACTAAGGGTATTATTCAAAATGGTCACTTACTAATAAGAGAAAATTGCGGACAATTTCTAAAGTTTTAAATTCCTGCAGGCCGTTGTTTTCATCCATTTTGTGAAGACAACGGCTGAAATGCCCTGTATTAATGTTGTACAATCTTAATAACATAAAATACGCAGATGACACATTGATAGCAGACACGGAAAAGAAATTACAAAACCGTCTACAGAAGGTTGCAAAGGAGAGCGTGAAGAAGGGACTAAGTACAAACTACAAGAAGACAGAATGCATGGTCATCAGTAAGACGATGAGCCCGTAATGAGATTCACATGTCGCCGACACTAAAATCAAGCAGGTGAGGAAATTTAAATATCTGGGAAGTGTTTTGGCAGAGGACGTTAAGCAGGAAGCTGAGATCTGAAGACGTATTGGAATGGCCAAAGACGCATTCCAAAAGCTAAGCAGAGTATTACGAGACAGGAGGTTTTCTTTGGTAACAAAGAATAGAGTACTGAACTGTTACGTGACATCTGTCCCCCCTTTACGGCAGCGAATGTTGGACGGTTTCTTCAAAGATGAAGAAGAGTCTCGAGGCAACGGAGGTATGGTTCTACAGAAGGGTGCTAAGGATATCATGCACCGAGCGTGTGAACAACGATGAGGTCTTGGAGATGATGAGACATGTCAAATAGAAATATGACAGTCTTAGGAAATCATGAAAAGACATTTACGCTGCCTTGTAAGTGATGGATTATTTTTCACCTTACAATCTCTTTCTCGCAGATGCAACGTCGCATCCCTCTCGCCACTCTATCGCTATTTCCATCGTAAATATTCACACGAACTACATTCCTTAGTTCCACCAGTTCAATCATTTAAGACTGCGCCATATACGCAAAGGCAACCCATTCTCATACCCTTCCTATTCCACTGGTAAGAAGAAAGCCACTACTTTATGAAACAGTCTCCCGAGGGAATGCTTCCCCGAACACTCCAATCTTAGCCGCTTCACGTTTAATGTCAACTGATGTCTATAGTACGTTTTCCCCATAACCTGTACTACTTACCGATTCTCTCTTGCATCGCCTGGGTCCATAGTAAAATTTAGTAAAATGAGTGCCTTACATTGGATGAACATTAAAAGCTGTTTATCGATAGGATTTTCTGGGGTTTGAAACTGTCCATACAAATATATCTGCTCCAGAAGATGGCGGGATGATAGAGGAAAATGTTGCATAAGCAAAACATTTTGCTTTGGAGCTAAAAAAAAACAGAAATGAAACATTAGGTTGGAAATTGCTCCCAGAATAAATGTCGACATACAAACGCCCTTAACGTTTCTTGGAGCGAAATTGGAGGAATTGAATATCTCTAAAAAACGAATGTGATGTAGTGACTGAGTCAGCGAGAAAACTGAGTAATATGTCGGAGATTTGAGAAATTTACAGTTACTTGATCTTCAGACACAAATGTCAGAATCTTTTGTTATTCAGTTAATAAAATTGAAACATTTTTGAAATGTGCAAGGGATCGCTCTGGCTCACAAATGAGACTACGTTGTGAAAGAAAGGACTTTCTCAGTATTTGATAAATTAAAATTATAAAAGAAAGGACTTGTGAAGGAAGGACTTGAAAAATTGAAATTGATAAATAACTCGACCCTGCGAGTATAGAGAAAAAAATTGTGGCATTTGCATCTATCATAAAAGGAGAACTTGGAATAAATTTTTCATTTATTATTATTTTTAAAAATTTTTTTATTTCATTTTCTTTCATTTTATCTTTTTTTTTTCGTGTAATCTTCTTTCTTCTTTTCTTCCTTTCCATTCTTTTCCCTACTTTTTCTTCCTTTTAAACAAACTTTCTAACCTTCCTTCTTTCTTACTTTCATTCCTTCCTAAATATTCATACCTCTCGAATTTCTTTCTTTCATACCCTACTAAACTTCCTTCCTTATTTCTTGCTTTCTTTCTTTTCTTTCTTTTCCTCCTTTCATTTATACTACCTTCACGCTATCATTCCTTACTTTCTTTTCTTTATTTCATTCACTATTCTCCTTCTTTCCTTCCTTCCTTCCTTCCTTGATTCATTCAATATTTCCTTCCTTCCTTTTCTTTCTTCATTCCAACCTTTTCACCGTCCATCCTTCTTTTCTTTCATCCGCTACTATTCTTCCGTCCTTCCTTCATTCCTTCCTTCTTTCCTTCTCCTTCTTTCATCCAATCTTCTCTTGATCCGTCCTTCCTTCCTACCCTTTTCTTCTTTCATCCACTTTGCTCTTTTTCCCTTCGTTCGTTCATTCCTTCCGTCCTTCTTTCACCCAACCTCTTTCCATCTGACAATCCTTCCTTCATTTTCCTTCCTTCATCCATTTTACTTCTTCCTTTCTTCTCCCTTCTCCTCTCACACAACCTTCTCTCCATCTGTCTATCCTTACTCTCTTTTCCTTCCTCCATCCACTTTACTCCTTCCTTCCTTCCGTCCTTCCTTCTTTAACCCAACCTTTCCCCCAATCGTCGATCTTTCTTTCCTTCTCCTTCTTTCACCCAAATATCCCCATCTGGCCACCCTTCATCTCTTATCCTTCTTTCATTCATTTTACTTTTGCCTTCCTTCCTTCCTTCCTTCCTTCCTTCCTTCCTTCCTTCCTTCTCCTCTCACCCAACTGTCTCTCCATCTTTCTATCCTTCCTTCCTTCATTCACTTTACTCCTTCATTCTTTTCATTCCTTCTTTCTCCTTCTTAACCCGACCTTCCCCCCCCCATCCGTCAATCTTTCTTTCCTTCTTCTTTCACCCAGACTATCCCCGTCTGGTCCCCCTTCTTCTCTTCTCCTTTCATTCACTTTACTTTTGACTTCCTTCCTTCCTTCCTTCTCTCCTTCCTTCCTTCCTTCCTTCCTCCCCTCCCCCCCCTCCTTCCTTCCTTCCTCCCCTCCCCCTCCCTCCCTTTCCTTCCTTCCTTCCTTCCTTCCTTCCTTCCTTCCTTCCTTCCTTCCTTCCTTCCTTTCTTCTCCTCTCACCCAACCATCTCTCCATCCGTCTATCCTTCCAGCCTTTTCTTTCTTTCATTCACTTCCTTCCTTCCTTCCTTCCTTCCTTCCTTCCTTCCTTTCTCCTTCC